GCTGGCGGAGCTGGGGAGGCTCAGGGTCCGGGCTGGCGGAGCTGGGGTGCCGCTAGCCTTCATGGACTTGGGAAGCACAAAGTGCATTGCTTCTCTACAGCACTGGTTTGTTATGTTGAGATAGGATCTCACTCTATTGCCCAGGCTGGCTTGGAATTCACAATCCTCCTGCCTGAGTACCTGAAGCTAGCTAGAACAACACCCCATGCCTGCATTTTTTTTTTAAGGTAGGGTCTTACCCTGAAGATCAGACTGGCCTCCAACTCATGCACAATCCTCCTGCCTAGCTTTCTGAGTGCTGATATGACAGCCATGTGCCATCTGGCTAAAGCATTTTAAAACCTTTTAAAAATTATTTATTTTAAATTGTATGTGTGTGTCCTGAAGCATAATTACAGATAATTGTGAGCCAGCTGGCTTGGGTGCTAGGAATCAAACACTGTTAGAATAATTCACACTCTTAACCACTGAGCCATCCGTTTCTCAGCCGTTTTGTCAAGCCAGGCTTTTACTTCATAGTCTAAGCAATCTCATAGCAATCTCCCTACCTCAGCCTCCTTAATGCTGTGTGCTAGGGCTATACTATTGTATCTGACTTTAAAAAATATTTATTTATTTATTATTATTTTTTATTTTATTTTATTTTTTGGTTTTTCTTTTTCTTTTTTTTTTTAAAGATTTATTTATTTATTATGTGTACAGTATTCTCAATATTCTGTCTGCGTGAATGCCTACAGGCCAGAAGAGGGCACCAGATCTCATTATAGATGGTTGTGAGCCACCATGTGGTTGCTGGGAATTGAACTCATGACCTTTGGAAGAGCAGGCAGTGTTCTTAACCACTGAGCCATCTCTTCAGCCCTATTTTTTGGTTTTTCAAGAAAGGGTTTCTCTCTAGCTTTGGAGCCTGTCCTGGAACTCACTCTGTAGACCAGACTGGTCTCAAACTCACAGAGATCCACCTGTCTCTGCCTCCCTAGTGCTGGGATTACAGGTGTGTACCACCACCGTCCAGTACTTATTATTATTTTTTAACGTGCATTGGTACATTGCCTGCATGTATGTTTGTGTGAGGGTGTCCTGGAACTGGAGCTACAGACAGCTGTGAGCTACTGTGTAGATGCTGGGAACTGAACCTGGATCCTCTAGAAGAGCAGTCATTGCTCTTAACTGCTGAGCCATCTCATGTGGATTTTTAAAACAAATTTACTGTGTGTGTATGTGCTCATATTTGTGCCACGGCTTGACGTAGAGGTCAGGGAACAACTTGCTGGGTTGATACTTTCCTTCCACCATGTGGGTATTGGAGATCCAACTGGCCTCATCAGGTTTGAGGGGCAAGCGCCCTGACCTACTGAACCACCTTGCCAGCTTCACATGCCTGGATGTTTGGAGTTGTTTTTAAGGAAAGTCTCATTCTGAAGTCCAAGTTGACCTCAAAGTCATGGCAATCCTCCTGCCTTGGCCTCTTAAGTGCTAGGATGACAGGTTCAGGCCCCAGGTATGATCCAGTCACATTATCTGACTGGCTCGCCTGTGTAATCCTTTAAACCAGCCCTGTGTGGGTAGCTGTAGCACCTACCAGCACTTTTCGGGGTCAGACAGGGACTTCAGGCCACTGGCCTAAGATCTGTTTGGCTCCGAAGTCCAACTTTTCAGCCCCGCCCTCCCTGGAGCCGGGGCTGGGGCTCAGAGGACAGAACTGTCTGGCAGGGGAGGGGGTGGGGGTGGGGATGGGTCTCCAAGGGCCTGAAACTCCTGTAACTCACCTGTGTAGGATTTTCTCTGCCTGCTCCAGCGAGATAGAGATGCCCAGCGCTCGGAAGCTTTGCTGAATCTCAGAGACATCGATGTGACCTGGAAAGGGTGTCCCAGGAGATACCCAAGCCAAAGACTGGACAAGGGGGGGTCCAGAAGTGCGCGCGCGCGCGCGCGCGTGTGTGTGTGTGTGTGTGTGTGTGTGTGTGTGTGTGTGTGTAGGTCAGAGGTCAATGGCTGTGTCTTCCTCAGTCTCTCTCCATGTTTCTTTTGAGAAAAGGTCTCTCACTGTGCTGGGGTCATAGGTGGGCACCACCCTACCCAGCTTAATGGGTGCTGGGGATTTGAACTCAGGTCCTTGTGTTTGCCTAGTAGGCACTTTACCCACTGAGTGAGCTTCTTAGCCTTGGGGGAGAGATTTTTATGCCAGTTGTGGGTGCTACTCAGAGTTGAAACTGGGCAGTATTGGGGGGGTCCTCCATTATCAGGAATGAATGAGTTCAGGGATGATTGCAGAGGTCCCTATGCTAGAAGAGACTAAAGCAATATTTGCTTATTTATTAATTTTTCAGTTCCTCCCTCCCCAGTATAGGTTCTAGGGATTGAACTCAGGACCTTGTGGTTTTGTGGCAAGCACTTTACCCCCTGAGCCATCTGTCCAACCTTAAGGCAATACTTAAGGATCCCAGAAGACACTTGGTCGCGGGACTGTCCCTGGATCCAAGAGTCCCCAAAGCTACTATACTGTCCAGAAAGAAACATCTGAGGGTAGAGACAGGGGTTCTCTGCTAAAAGGGATCAGGAGGTGGGATGGCCGGTTTGGGCTCAGATCACCTAGTTGGGGCTGAGAAGAACTCCCAAAATAGCCTGTGAGTCAGAAGCAGCCCTCCCCTTCTCCCCAGCACTGTGGGTTCTAACCCATCTGCCCATCCCCCAGTTTGGAGCCCATCTCACCATCCTGGTTCCGGTCAAGGCTATGAAACATGAGCAGAAGGCGCTGCTCCCGCTCCTGCAGGTAGCGGGTGAATTCCTCCAGGCTGAGGCCACCATCTGGATCAGCGTGTCCCTCAGAGGAGATGCCCTGGAAGAGAAAAGCAGGGACAGAGGGGACTGAGCAGACTGCACCCCCACAGTGTGTATGACTCAATATGCCTCATGGCCCAGGAACTCAGAGCCCCCGTGACTCAAGAAGGGGTACAGGGGCCATCACTCCTGCCCCTCAGTCAGCCCACTTTTCAGCAAGATGCCCCAAGCCATAATAGGAGTCTGGTTGCTGCCCAGTTCTCCTGGTAGGCAGACTGAGACGTTGCTAAGTCACGGAAGCAGCTCAAGGTCATAGAACTGTGAAGTGGCAACCTTGGGCACATTTTTGTTTTTAGATGTGGTCTCCTGTAACCCAGGCTAGCCTCATTCTCTTCCTTTTGGAGAATGACCTTGAACTCCAATTCTCCTGCAACACCTTGTCTCCCAAATCTGCCCACCTAGCTTTTTCTTATAAAATCTGTCTCCTTGGCAGTCTTAGGGTAGGGGGGTGTCATGTTAGAAACAATCCTGATTCATATAGGGCCCAACAGATCAAAGCCAATAGCCATAGGGCCTCTACATTCCCACGGGAAAAGTGGGACCTTAGACTCAAGGTCAACAAAGATGCAACAGGTCTGTTTCAGGGACACCTCTGGGCTCAGATGTAAGGGACACCTGTGACACATTGAAGAAGGGCCAGTTCTTGCCTCTTTTCACCGCCATTGCCACCTCCCATGCTGGGGCTGGAATCCAGGACCTTTGCACATGCTAGGAAAGAGCTTTACCACCGTGCTGCACCCAGGCTCAAATTCCTTCCTAGATAGGTCGGACCCCTGTAGAGGCAGGGTGGCCTCAGATAGACTGAATCTCCGGTCGGGGCATGCTGGGGCAACCAGCCAGGTTCCAGAAAGAAAGCACCAGCCGGGAATGTAAATAAGAGACTAGGGTAGCTAGCTGGGGGCTCAGTGGGTGCTCCAGCAGGGTGGGGAAGTTGTGTTCACTGCAGGTGGGAGCGGGTCACCCATCAGATCATGCAGAGAGCAGCGGAGGGTGTGTCTCCGGGCAGTGGACGGAAAAGCCTCCGGCTCTACGGTGCATTCTCCAGCAGGCACCCCACAGCCCGGGAGGGGGGGGCATTGGGTCCTGGCAGCCGCAGGCGCTGCAGGCCCGGGGCCTTGGCAATCTTGTCTCGCGACGCCTTTAGGCCAGACGCTTGTGGGTAGGGGGAAGGGAGGTGACAGAGGTGGTGGGTCCAGCCAACAGGTAGCGTGCAACCGCATTCAGGTGCACCGGTTACGGCGCGGGCGGGCCCTGAAGCGGTGGTCGCTGCCCGTGGTACCTGCTGTGCATGGTCGGGATGGCCCCCTCCCAGCCTGGCCAGCCCCTGGCGCAACTCGTGCACGTCCACGCGGCCGTCCTTGTTGCTGTCCAGCTCCTCGAACAGGCGACTCCAGCGCTGCCGCCGCTCCGCGTCGCCGGAGCCCCCCCGCATGGCGCCCGCCCGGGGGGGAGGGGAGGCCCCACAGCAACGGCCTCGGTGGGGGCTTTCCGGCTCCCCCTCCCCCCCGGGGTCCCCGCAGGACCAGCTCCCGCGACCAACCGCACCGCAGCCTCTGCACTGCGGGGCCGAGCTCCGGCACTTGCTGGAAGTGATAAACGCTAGTCGTACCCGCCCGCCCCAGAACTTGCGTCTCCTCCTCCGACCCGCGTTACTGGGGGGAGGGGGCCGGGGGCGGAGCAGGGGGCGTGGGGAAGGAGTCTAGGAGGTTCTGGTATTGCACATCTGACAGTGCCCGCATTCCTGGAACGATCTGAAGGCGAACATCTCAGTACTTGGTTTGCCTCAGTTTACTCCTTTTCCTTAAGTGGTTTGGCAGGGAATTGTCAGGGATTGGGTTTTGTAATCTCGTTCCTTTCGCTCTCCCTCTCCTACGGACCCTCATCAGGAATTCAAGATTTTGCTTCTCCCAGGCCTACGCAAGAACTCGGAACCAGTTTAAGCATTTCTTTTGCCCGCCCGCTTTCGTCAGATTCCCCAATCGATGACAGAAACAGGAGATCAACGAGGGGGGGAGAACTCCCTCCCCAACACTTCAGCCCGCCCGCGCGCCTCCTTTTCTCGGTGACACTCGAAGAGAGAAACGCAAGGTCAACGCACAGCGCGACTGCAAAGTCAAACCCCTATTGGTCAGAGTCGCCTGAGCTGCGCCCGTCCGCTCCACGTAGGCGGGGCTTCCTGATTGATCCACCGCAGCCTCCGACCCCGTAGCCCGCAGCCGGCCTGGCGTTCTTAAAGGGGCCGCGACCCCATCCAGACTCTCAGAATGCTGTTTCCTGCAGATCTGCCTGGGAAGGGAGTCACGGTCCAGAGTCCTTGGCGCCGCTGAGAATAAAGACCGAGAGGCAGCCGGGTTCTGGAGGCGGGGCCTCAGGCGGGGCCAGTGGTTTGCACCTGCTGAAGTCCCGCCCACAAGTTTCGGGTGCAGTTTCTCGTCTTACCATCAGGGGGAAGGGAGCCCGCTTGCTTGACCGCAAATACTAACTAACGTTGAGTGCGCTGCGCATGCCAGCCTTCCTCTCGCCTGCCCAAACCCTGCGAGGTAGGTAGGTGGTTCTAGCTTTTCCCACGATACAGAGGAAGCAAGAGGAGGCCTGCCGGGGTTCCCATTTGGGGCCAGAGCAGAGATTTAAATAGATTTTAAACCACCATTCCTGGAAGTGACGAAACCTTTTTTATTTATTCTTGGGGGGTTTTGTTTGTTTTGTTTTTGTTTTTCCGGGCACGATCTCGCTGTTTAGCCCTATAAGTCACTATGTAGACCAAACTGATCTGGAACTCATAGAGATTCACCTGCTTCTGCTTGTATTTAAGGCGTGTGCCTCGACAGTGGGTGTCGTAGGGCACTCCAGCGAGTGGACCCCAGCTTCAGTTGTATGCCCATTTGTTGTTGTTACTCATGTTTTTTTAAAAAAGTTATTTATTTATATTTTATGTATAAGTGCACTGCATGTACACCTGCAGGCCAGAAGAGGGCGCCACATCTCATTACAGATGGTTGTGAGCCACCATGTGGGTGCTGGGAATAGAACTCAGATTCTCTGGAAGAACAACCAATGCTCTTAACCGCTAAGCCATCTCTCCAGCCCCCTGTTACTCATGTTTTGAGTCAGGGTCTCAAGCTGCAGACATCGAGCGTGCTGCAGTTCTGCTTCAGACTCCCAATGGATGGGATGTAACCGCGTGCCTCCATATTATGTGCGGTTCGTGACTATCTTTTCCCCACAGATGAATCCAGAGGTTATGTGGTTCCCACCCAGGCTGCGCCCACACGTGTGGTGAGCAGGTGAGAGTCGCACGCAGCCCTTCTCTACCAGATGTTTCCATGCACAGGTGTTTCTTTGTGTGTGCCATGGGGACACAGGTGCTTTCTTGGACACTTCCCTGACAGATGAACCTCATACACAACAAACCAGCTTGTGGAGCCCCCTCTGCGGATGTCCTTCAGTGAGGATGGAAGGCCTTCAAGAACGAAATTCTGCTCAGGCGCTTTGTTCAGGTGTCTTTTTCACACAGGTGTGACTTGAGGCAGGTGTTCTCACTACGTTACACTTACGGGTCCGCGTGTGTCTTTCTAGTCCCATACAGGTTGATTGGTTGATTAATTGATTGTGGGACTAAAGAATCACGGAACCCAGGGTCTCACGAATGCTAGGGCGGAATCCATGACTGAATGACTGGGGGGGGGGGGGGGACCCCCCCCGCCAAACCCCCTGACGGGGGGGGCGGGGGGGGGGGGGAATCCCATCACTATGACTTTCTAGACAGGAACTCTACCCCTGAGTCACGTCCTCTGATGTTTCCTAGATGATTCTAGTGTTCTGGCCCTGAGCCATGCCCCAGACCTCTTTTCCTTTTTTATTTTGAAATAGGGGTTCACAGAGCTGCTAAATCTGGTCTTGGATCCTCCTGCTTCAGCCTCCTGAATGTCTGCATCACCAGGCCTGACTTCAGGTTTGAATTCCTCAGTGTTACGCATCAGAGCCCGCCCCTTACAGGTGTGTATCTTCCTGGCGTGTCGCCACGCCCCCTGCTCCTGCACACCTGTGCTACCGAGGAACCCCGGTGTGCGGTCCTTGCACCTGCTCACTTCCGCCTTCCGCGCTGCTCCCCGGCGCAATGGGGTTCCCGTTACAGGTGCTCCCGCGGTGCGGCCCCGCCCCCTAGGCCCCGCCCCTCTCAGCCGGGCTCAGGTGCACAAGCCGGAAGTGCGCTCCCTGCCTAGGTGGGTGACTAAACTTTCCGGGTCACGTGAGCGGGCGGGGCGGGTGGGATCGGGAGCGACGGGGTGAAGGACAGCGACTCGGGGCTCCAGTCGGGGACCCGGGGTTGGGAACCTGCGCCAAGTTCCTCTCAGACGCCCGGGCCAGGTAGGGAGGCAGGGCGCGCAGCCTGTCCTGTCCCGAACTCCTCCTTCCCTTCTCCTAGCCCAGGAACGCGGCCCGAGAGTTAATCTTTAATCTCTGACCCTTGGCGCCGAGGGCGGGGACCGCACTCCAAGCTCGGTCGCCTGTCGCTGGGGCCTGCGCCCAGCGGGTCCAGCCCCCAACTCCACGCTGCGGCCTCTCCTTTGGTGTGGTCCCCAGGTCCCGAGTCGCAGGTGCCCTCCTCGACCCAAGATGCGGTAGGAATTGGAGCCCTGGGGAATTCCTGCCCTTGGCGCCACCAGCTCATCGTCCAAGCTCATGGCGACCCCAGGCCTGGGGCTGCTCCTGGCAGTTGGTCTACCGATGCTGCCCGCCGGCTGGAGCCAAGCGTGTAGGTACCATCCCCGTAGACGATGGGGTGAGAGGAGGGTTCCCAGGTAGAACTCAGCAGGACTGGGCATTTGCGACCCAGAGACGGTGAAAGGTCTGAGCAATGGGCTTCGATTGTGTTTGGGGACCAGGTCCGAAAGCATTAGGGCTAAACTACAGGTTAGTCTAGCCCACCTCTGAACTTTCTCTCTCTCTCTCTCTCTCTCTGTCTCCCTCCCCTCCCACCCTTTCTTTTTCTTCTCTCTCTGTCTCTTTGTCTCTCTCTCTCTCTTTTGCGTTGCTGGAGCTCGAACCCACAGCCTCCTGCAAGCTGGTCAAGCGCCCTGCCATCAAGCAGACCCCACACCCACAGCCCAGAATTCCTGAGTCCTTAAGTCTTGTGGAATTTGGGAGCTGGGGGTTGTTGGGCAGAGCCCGGAGGTGGAGGAGGGGAGGAGAGTCAGGGCACCTGAGTCTGCATAGTTGAGAGTCTTAAGCAGCCAGGGGACCTGGAGGAGGCCAGAAGGCCCAGCTGACAGGATTGGCAAGGGCCAGTAGGTGTGGACTCAGCCAGACCTTCCCTCTGTCTCTCTGGTTCTAGTTTCGGGAGCCTTGGTGGGGGGGAGACGGGACAGTGTGAGTCACACACTCCAGGGAAAGGTTGAGCCCCGCCCAGGTCCTTAAGAAGCCTGGGCCAGGGTGATGGTGGTGGTGGGGGGGGGACACTGTCCTGGAACCCATTTATTATAATGGTCGGGCTAACAGTGGTGACTTTGGCCAGATTATTCCCTACTGGGCTAAGAGTGGCCACAGGAACCAATACCGCACTTGAGGGTGGAGTGGGTGGGTGGCCTGGCAATACCAGCAGTCTCTTCCAACTGAAGACTGGGAAGGAATTTTACAAGGCTGTGTGTGTGTGTGTGTGTGTGTGTGTGTGTGTGTGTGTATGGGGGTGTGTGTGTATGGGGTGTGTATGTTGTGTGTGTGTGTATGGGGGTGTTGTGTGTGTGTATGGGGTGTGTGCGTATGTGTGTGTATGGGGTGTGTGTGTGTATGGGGTGTGTGTGTGTATGGGGTGTGTGTATGTATGTGTATGGTGTGTGTGTATGTATGTGTATGTGTATGGGGTGTGTATGTGTGTGTCTGGGGTGTGTGTGTGTGTGTGTGTGTGATGACTAGTGAAGAGCCTGGCATAGATTTTTTTTCTTTTTCTGTCTCACAGCCACAGCACCGGACCCTTTCAATAGCACGACTCCATCCCCAGACCCTGATTCCAGTGGGGGCCTGGTGAGTTGGGAGGGGGTGCCAGCTGTGAGTGCAGGTGTATGAGAGAGCATGGGCAATAGTTGTTATGAGTAGTAAGGTTGTACATTCTAAGCTTGTGTACAGCCAGGTTGTGCCCAACCCTAGCCCTGGGGTCTGGTGTAGCTCAGGCTGGCCTCTAACTTCCTCTGTAGCTAGTTGACCTTGAACTCCTAATCCTTCTGCCTACCCCTCTGTGCTGAGTTTACGTGTACCATTGTGCTAGGTCTATGAGATGCTGGAGTCAAACCCAGGGTCCTACCCATGCCAGGCAAGGGCTCTACCCATGAAGCCACAGCAATGGGACGATTTATGGTCCCAGACAGAGTGCTGGGCAGTGGTGGCACACACCTTTAATCCTGGTACTTAGGAGGCAGATGCAGATCTCTGTGAGTTTGAGGCCAGCCTGATCTACAGAGTGAGTTCCAGGACAGCCAGGGCTACACAGAGAAACCCTCTTTAAAACAAACACATAAAAAGAATCCTAGACACAGGGTAGCAAGGCCTCTCTATATAAGGGTTTTACAAGAATGTTAAGAATATTGTGTCTTGCTGGGTGTGGTGGCCCAGACACTCCTGGAGAGAGGGGCAGGCAGAGCTCTGAGTTTAAGGCCAACCTGGTCTACAGTAAGTTCCTGTCTTAAAAAAAATACTGTGTCTTGCCTTGAGGGTATGGTGATACCCACACCTCAGCACTTAGGAAGCTGAGGCAGGAGGATTGCCGCAATCAAAGCAAGCCTGGGGTATATAGATGAGACTATATCACAATACCATAGAAGGGATGGGCATAGTGACTCAGGCCTGTTGTCCCAGTGGAGGAGGAGGCAGGAAATTCAGAGTTATTTTTAATTCTATAGCAAGTCCAAGGCCAGCCTGGGCTACCTGTGATTCTGACCAAATAAACAGAGAACACAAAAAGAAGGAAAAAAGAAGGGAGGACAAGAGAACCCCAAACCCTAATAGGTAACCCGGAGTGGGCAGGTGTGAAGGGGACATGGCTAGAGACAGAGGCACCAGTGTGAGAGGTGCTGAGGTGGTGTTTCTAGGTGTCAGCAGATGGGACCCTGTTGGGTGACTAGGTGAGGTGAGTAGGGCCCGCATGCAGGTGGTCACACCGGTCCCCTCTCACGTTCTCTGCAGTCTTCAGGGGCCACTGTAGCCATCGCTGTGGTCTTTTCCATTCTGGGAGTCATCCTCCTAGCGGTGGGGCTGTTCCTGCTGATGCGGAAACTTCGAGAAAAGCGCCAGACAGAGGGCACCTACCGGCCCAGCAGTGAGGAGCAGGTGGGTGCCCGTGCTCCACCACCCCCCAACCTCAAGCTGCCCCCGGAGGAGCGGCTCATCTGAACGCCAGGGTGTTGGCCATAGGCTGCCACCACCACCCAGGACTGCCTTGGCACACCCTGGCCCACAGCAGCCACCTTGGAGACACGCCGGCCTCTGATGGCTCAAGAGGACTCCGGGTGGGGAACCCTGGGGGCACCCGGCTGGTGGGCTGTGCAGCATGCTGCCTCCGCTTGGCTCTGCATGAAGCTGGGGGTGCCGCGTCCGGGAGCCTCACCTCACCATTCACTTCCTGTGATCTTGCTCTGCTGTGTCTCCTACCGTGACTGCAGGCCCAACAAACCTCCTGTCCTTTCTTTCAGTTTTCCCACGCATCAGCTGAGGCCCGGGCCCCCCAGGACTCCAAGGAGCCAGTGCGGGGCTGCCTGCCCATCTAGCTCCTTCCCCTCCTCCCCTGTCACCTACCTTCCCTACCTTGCTGTGTGACCTTGGGGGAAGGCAGCACCCTCTGGGCAATCAGACTCACCCAATGCTTAAAGATAGAAGGGAAGAAAGTTCTTCAAAGACCTTGACTTTGAGGGGAAGGGAGGATGTGGCTGCTCACTTTTATATATTTATGTGAAATTAATAGTAAGGTATAATAAAACGTTTTTTTTCTTTTTTTTTCTTTTTTTTTAGCTTTTGGGAACATCAGCTTAGATGAATTCGATTTGAAGTGTAAGCCTTTTGAGGTTCCTAAACAAACTGGAAATGGGGGTGTGGTGGGGGGTGGAGCTTCAGGTGAACCTTAAAGATGATTAGAGGTTGCTTCCAGGCGTGAAAGAGGTAGTTTCTGAGCTGACAGAGGCCCCAGATAAATTTATCAAGGAGAACAAAATCAGCTTTATTGGGAGCTGGATGCCTCTACACCCTTGTTCTTACTTTTCAAAACACTTTTTCAGTTCAGCCACGCGAGGCTGCCTGACTTGGGGCCCCTGCCGGTTGGTTACTCCCAGCTCCTTGAGGGTTTGGGCTCGAGTCTGATCACTCAGGACCTGGAGAGGCTGGTTTCTGGGGCTCTCTGGAGAACTGAGGTGTGAGGGAGACCCAATGGGTTGTAATGTCCCGACAGTGTCAGGGTTGTGCTCTGTGGAGGCAAGAAGTTGGGGGCTCTCTGGGGAGCTGGGCTGAGTGGGCACTATGAGGAGCCTGGAGCAAGGGCTTTGTGGGATTTTAGGGTCCAGCTCGATGGGAGCAGAACACTCGGGGGCTTGGCTGCTTGGGTCTACTGAAGTGGCTGAAGATGCTGGAGGAGAGATGTCTGAGGGCGACTCAGAACAGTTCTCGTAATAGCTTGCCACCTCTAAAGATGGGGTGTCCTGTAGAGACCGTAGGTCCTCTGGCAAGGACCAGGGCTCGGCTTCCAGGGATTGCGCATCATCTTCTAGTTGCCATGGTGACCTCGTTGGGCTGTCAGTCTGGGAAGAGCAGGTCAGGGGGTGGTTGAGGTCAGGTGGGGAAGAGACAGGTTGGGAGGGCACAGTGAGGGTCTTACCAGGCTGAAGCAGCTCTCCGACGCCCCCTGCTGGCAGCAGTCCAAGCTCTGGCTGGCCCTCAGCCGGCCACCACTCTTGGTTTCCACGCTCAGACTGTCTAAAATCTCGCTCAACAGATCCAGTTCTCCAGACCCCAGGAAGCTGCCATCTAGAGTTTCCTCTGCCCAGGGACTCTGGGTGTCCTTGGGGCTCAAGGTAGGACTCCTGGATTGAGGATGGACATCCTGATCTTCGTTGGGCTGCTCCAGGGTCTAGAGAAATCCCTCCTCATCCATCTTGACCCTTGCACCTCCAACTTTGACCCGCTTTTATTCTTACCTCTCCCCGAGGGGTTGGGAAGGTACCCCTTCCCGCCTGAATCTCCTGCTAGGGCGGAGGGGTCTGTTCTGAAAAACATAAGGGAGGAAGAATGGGGAGGGACCCAGGAGCTGCAGAATCGGGGCTGGGGCTTTCCAGCCTGAATTGGAAAGAGCAAGCTAGGCGTGTTAATGCTTGTCTTGGCACCTGCAGCCTGAGGCAGGAGGATCACTGCAAATTTGAACCCTGACTGGCTACATAGTGGGACGTTTCTAAAAAACAAAACAAGGACTGGGATGAACCTCTGAGTTTGAGATGAGTCAGGTCTAAAAACAAACAAACAAACAAAATCCCTCAAACCAAGGAGCTGAGAAGATGCAACTCGGTAGAGGGCTTGCCTGCCATGCACTGGGCTCTGGGTTTGATCTCTTAGCACCTTTAAAATGGGAGTGGTGGATCAGTTCAAAGTCATACTTGGCTGTATAGCAAGTTTGAGGATAGCCTGAGCTACAGTGACATCTACATTGAAATAAAAGGAAAATAGTTTGGTGAACACTGGGAATGAATGGGAGGTTTGGGGGGGAATCTGTGGTGTGTGTGCATGTATTCATGAATGCATGGTATGTGTGTCTGTGGTGTGTGTGGGGGAACAGAGGGTGGGTGTCCTCACCTGTCCAAAGTGCTGGCTGATAGGCAGGCGCTGTTGCAGGCGATCTGAGCGGCTGATGAGGCTCGGGGTTCTCAGGGAGCCCCCTCTCCGAAGGCCAGAGTCTCCATCCTGTGAAGGGATGCACATGTGGCCTGAGGTACCATCCCCATATCCCTGAGTCACCTGTGGGTGGGGAGCCCCCCCCCCCCCCGAGTCATCTCACCTTAATCATAAGCAGGTTCTGCACACCCTTCAGGCCACTCTTCGCCTAGGGTGATGACCAGCACTGTTAGATCTGTCACCCGCCCCATCTTTGTATCTTCCAAGCTATTTTTGTACCTTTGACTAATGCACAATATTCCTGGAGGGAGTCGCCCCGCCATAAACTAAAGGTTTGACCATCATGGGCAGATCTGAACTATAAAAGCTGGTCTGAGCTCCAGATACCTCCCTCCAAAAAAGAATGGAAGCTGAGTATCGAAGGTAGGCAAACAATCTTGGCCGTCAGGGTGTGTGTGTGCTTAATTTTACTTATGTATTTTATTTCCGGGGGGGAACATGAGCTATGGCAGTAGGGAGAGCAGAGTACAACTTGGGGTGTCACTTCTTTCCTATTACTATGTGGATTCTAGGGATCAAAGGTAGGTTGTCAAATCTGACAATAAGAGCCAGCCATCTTGTCATTCCTAAATTTTATTATTATAAAATTACTATTTATTTATTTTGAGACAGGGTAGTGCTAGGATTAAAGGTGTGCACCACAACCACTCAGTTATTTTTGAGATAGAGCCTTAACTTTGCAATCCTGAAGATCAGGCTAACCTCCAACTTTTAGAGATCTTTCTTTATTTTCTTTTTCTTTCTTTCTTTTTTCTTTTTTTTCCCTTTGGTTTTTTGAGACAGGGTTTCTCTGTAGCTTTGAAGCCTGGCCTGGAACTAGCTCTTGTAGATCAGGCTGGTCTTGAACTCACAGAGATCCACCTGCCTCTGCCTCCCGCGTGCTGGGATTAAAGGCGTGTGCCAGCACAGCCCAGGCTTGTCTTCAAGCATAGCTGAGGGTGACCTTGACCTTTGGACCCTTCTGTCTCTACCTCCCTAGTCCTGGGATAACAGGTCTGTCCCAGTGCCTGATTTCTGTGGTACTAGTGATGGAACTGAAAGACTCTAAATGCATTTTTGAGGCCTCTCAGCTCTAAAGACATTTTCTGAAGCCTCTTAGCATTTGGAAATGGGACAGTCAACCACATGCATACATGCTGGACTGCTCATCCTCCTGTGTCCTTGTGAACAATCTTCAAACATAACTCCATTCTGGGAATTGAGGCAAAGACAACCCACAGATGTTGACTCAGTTCCTGATGTTTGATTTAGTCACTGAAACAAGGTCAGGATGGCCCATAGATGCTCCCTTTATCTCACCTGACCACGCTATTCTCCTGCCCTGGAATAGACCAATCACTGCTAGTAACCCTTTGAATAAGCCAATCCAATAAGTTGGAAAACAACCTTCAGGTTCCCCTCCCTTGTGTCTGTGGCTTTTTGCTTTAAAAGATGGGCTATAACAGCTATTGGATACCCTTCATATCCTGAACCTGAAGGGCCCTGTCATGACAGAATAAAAATCCTCTTGCTTTTGCATCAATTGTGGTTATGTGAGTGGTGTCTGGAGCAACTCCTCCCTGATGTTTGGACTTCTAGTCCAACAGAACCCAAGGCTTGTGTGTGCCAGGCAGTCTACCCAAAGATCTATGTCCTTAGACCCAGGGTTTGGTTTTTGAGAAAGGAGTCATGTGTTTTGGGCTAGCTTCAGGATCTCTCTCTATGTAGCCAAGGTTGGTCTCGACTCCTAATTCTCCTGTCTTTCCCTCCCATTGGTGGGAGCTGTGTGCTAGCTAAGGCCTGGTCTGGTTGCCCAATTAAAGTGGGCAAGAAGTAATCCTAACAATCATGAACATGGCAGGCCTTGAGTGGCACACACCTTTAGTTCCTGCCCTCTGGAGGCAGACACAGGTGGATCTCTACGAGCTAGAAGCCAGCCTCATCTGCACATTGGGTTCCAAGCCAGTCAAGGCTATCTAGAGAGAGTATGCTTCTAAAGCCAACCATCCAACAAACAACCCCATCCCAACCTTAATATGATGGAACTCGAGAGATGGCTCATTACCTGTGGACACTTGCTGTTCTTGCAGAGAACTCAGGTTCAAATCCCAGCACCCACATCAGGTGGCTCACAACTACCTGAAACTGTTGGATCTCCAGTGCAGCACATCCAACACCTTCTTTGGGCCTCCACTGGTACTGCACATACAGTGCATATACAAGCAGGCAGGTAGGTACAGCAGCACACACACACACACACACACGAAAAGAAATGACAGATGAAAACCAAGCACAGAAGAATTTGCGAATGCTTTTAAGTGTGTTTTGTATTGTGTAGCTTTGTGTAGCCCTGGAACTAGTTCTGTAGACTAGACTGGTCTCAAACTCACAGAGATCCACCTGCCTCTGCCTCCCGAGTGCTGGGATTAAAGGTGTGCACCACTACTGCTTGGTTTAAGTGCATGTTTAGTGCCTGTTGGAATCAAAATGTCCAGTCATCTGTGAGTGCTCGAGACATCTCTTCAGGCTGGAGAGCAGACACAATCAATTAAACTCTTCCCTTCTACAGAAAAAGCTGGAAGTTGTGGTGTGTGCCTGTAACGCTAGGGCTGGGGAGAGAGGGGAAGCTTTGGACCGCTGGTCAGTCAGGCCAGGCCAGTCAGCTCCAGGTTCCTGTTTCAGAAAGCAAGGGGAGGGCAAGCAAGAAGGGTAGCAGTGGGGGTGGCTGCCAAGCCTGGCGGTTTGAGCGTGGTTCCCATGTTTGGGACCCACGTGGTAGAAGGACACAACCGTTTTGGTTTTTTTGAGTCAAGTTTCTCTGTGTGTAGCCCAGGCTTTCCTGGAACTCATTCTGTAGACCAGGCTGGTCTTGAACTCACAGGAGATCCACCTGTCTCTGCCTCCCCAGTGCTGGGCTAAATGTGTGCACCACCATCGCCTGGCTAATACAAGTTGTCCTCTGACCTCCACACATGCATCATGACACACATACTCAACATAAATAAATGTAACCGCCCAACTCCCTCTCCCCAAGCCACTAGGTGTGGTGGGACACACCAGTTCCAGCATTCAGGAGGCAG